AGATTTTAAATTTTTTATTTAAAAATATATTTTTTTATCATTATTAGATTTATTGGGTGTATCAGGAGATTGTTCACGGTACACAGCGCGAGTCATGTATGGTTTCGCAAGCACACATCTGTAGGCAATACTCCTCTTAGGTGTATACTGTATAGGTATTATATTGATGTTGTAATGGTATCACACAACTCATACGAACGCGAAAACGTATTCTAATGATAATCTATTAAAAACGTATGAAATATTTTGATTGAATGACGAATAATACAATTATTTTATGCATTTTATTTTACCAAATCTGATTGTTTTTAAGGACATACATATTTAAATGGATTTTATTTAGAACTTTTAAGGTTATATACTACTCTTCACATAAACATCGAGTTTGAGATTTACATTTCGGATTTCATTTAACGCACGTAATTATCATAAACAAATTTGTTTAYACCTATAATAATTAATTATTAGGTTATGAAACCTTGCTTGGGAGCTATGAAAAAAATTAATTGATTATGATGATGTTTATTTRGTGAGGAGTCTATGTTCATTTTTTTTGTTCCATAATTTATAGTCATAGTTTTAGACTTATAGTATACTTATATGTAATTAGCGTTTAACCTATACACATATATGAAACATTTGAATATGATAAAAGATTTAGATTTTTCTCGTACTAAAGAAAAAGCGCGAGGATTGTGTTATSAAAAAATATTAACGCAAATCTTAAACGTCTATGTGACTTTGGCCGTTGTAGGTATATAATAATCAATATTCATGAGAAATAACTTGTATCTACAAAACTTCTTATAGTTGTAATGTTATAATATGATACATTTAAAATAACTAAATGTTTTTAGTTTTCAAAAGCTTTGGCCACGCTCATACTATATCTCTCCTTCCATCTTTCAGAATTTTCTCTCAATTTTAATTTATACGTGACGCTCTCAGACCTCGGTCCTTCTACTACATCTTTTAATATTTTTCTTAGCCTATCTCGTGGCCTTTTTCCTTGAAGTTTCCATTCAACGCCTACACTTCATTTTTTTTCTATCAAATTTTTTTTATTCTAAAATTTGTAATTTAATTTAATTTGTTTATATAAGCTTATCTTAATCCTCTAGCGTTGACTAATTTAATTGATGTATGTGATGCGTAATGATTTTAAATTATAAAATTACGTTATCATCTCAATAAACTTTAATCGTCAGATGAGTTTCTTTTTTTCAATTTCGAAAACTTTAATGGCGGAATCCCCATTCCTACGGTCTACCCTACCCATCACGGGGACGGGGTGGATTGTTGGYGTCTGTGATATGGTGGGCGGTGGTGCGCGATGCACCGCGGTCACTAAATGCGAATTATTTACTCACCTTTGAATATCGAATACTAGAACTTAACGTCGGAGTGGGTGGCTGGTGGCGGGGGCGCGTGGTGCGGTGGTGGCGGCAACAACATCGTGGGCCGCGTCTTGTGGTACGTGTAAATGTGCGTCATCAACGAATTACGTGAACAGTACACCCGTTCGCATATAGCACACCGGTACTCCTCCTGTCTGGACGCGTGCTTGTCGGCCACGTGCCTCTTCAGGCTCGCTTTCGAGCACAATACTTTGCCGCAGGCCAGGCACGGGAACACTTTTTTCAGTCCTGCGTGAACAAGGAACAATACGTTAAAAAAAAAAAAATCAAAACTAAAACTCACGTTTCTGCGTAACGTACAATATGTCATGAGTATAATAAAAACGTAAAAGTATATGCATCAAAATATTATATTACTTTTTTGTCATAAAATGTAATAAAGTGGCTGCCCAAAGACACTAGCCCACCAACTCCTGCAAGTGACGCGTGACTGCGTCATAACATAACTATACCTATACATTATAAGCCTTACACGGCCGTGGTTCAGAGTTTTGAATTTTTGCGTGTCGATAAGATGCAAGCTAAGATCATCCRTCGAGTTTCTCGTAAATTGCTATACATATATACCGATCGGAAGGTGTTTTTAGGTGCTATACATTATAAATACAAGATTCTTGCAGGCCAAAGTGGTTTTAAATTTTGAAATATGCACGTAGAAACGACACGACAATGTATAGATGAGAATTGTCCAATAAATATCCCATACCCAATATCATCTCGTCTCTATAGTTGCCTCATAGATTTTGAAATAATAACCGCGAGAGCAAAAAATATATTCATTTCATGAATCTCAGTATAACATATCATATCTATGTAAACATACTATATTTTATAATTATAAATAAATAATTGTAAATAATATGTGTATCGATAATAAGTTCTAAAATATGTTGTATGTCTGTATTGCTGTCAACTCGTGCTATTATCTCGTTGACTTTTATAAATAAACATTATTATATCTATTGTACCTACCTACACTACGAATACACCTTGCAAGTTGCAACATAATACATTTTCAGCAAATTCTATTATYTCAACTAGATACTTAACTCGAGTAATCAAATGAATATTGTTTCGCCATTTTGGATAGGTACGTGAACAATATTTTTGGTATTTCAATACATGACCTAAATTATTTGACATTTTTATATTTATGGACATTTTTCACAGCTCAAAACACAGTATAGACGGGSTTTAGTAATTTTGTATTAATTTTGTTTATATTTCCTAATAACATACATACAGGGTGATTCTTTTATCAAACAACACTTATATGGTGTTCGTGTGTAAATACCACCTAACATACACCTATAACACTTAAACACCACCCAAAACCACCTAACTTTGGGAAGCTATATCTCGTAAACGGATTAACGAAAATTGAAAATTTAAACGTGAAAATTCATTGAAAAAATAGCCTTTTTAGTTTATGGCATTTTAAGTATAGGTTGTCATTTGAAAATCAAAAGTTGATAATGGTTTACCAGATAAATATAAAGGTGAAAATATTTAAAAAAAATATATAGTTCTAGAACAAGATGGATCTAAAATKTTGAAGAAAAAAAAATTGAAAAAAGTCAATAGTTTTTGAAATAATKAGTGTTGTTTGATAAAAGAATCACCCTGTATAGTATGGTATAAAAATCTATGATTTTCAGCAACGTTTTTTCTCCATTGTGAGTGACAAAAAAAGGCGATACATGCAATTGGTGCTTGTTTAAACCCAAACCACATGATTTATAATTATAWACTCGTACACAATTAGATCGTCATATTATGTATTTATATAAGTATTATATACATGTACTGCACATTGAAAAAATTCTACCGAAAAAACGAAAACTTTCAGTACCTACTTGTTTTTCTGTTTTCTCATTTTGGAAAGGCGTCGTCAAGTAGCACATGTTTGTAGTTCAACGATTTGATTTGATTTTTTTTTTTTTGTAATTGTTGTTTACTCGAAGTTAGAACCACAAAGAATTAGCTCTTTTACGAAACGTTTCGATGAACAGACAAAATACAGTGCGACAACGACTGTTTATTAAATCAACAGACACCGACTCCATACCGATTCGATTTTTTCGACGGTTATTTTTACTTCAAATGCCGTTGGCGTCATTGTGTAACTCAGTGTAAGTGTGTGTATTAAAAATTAAGCGAAAATATGCGAATAAAAAGTACGATTAGCCATTAGAAGGTTATAGGTGCACATTCTAATTATAAACAAAAAAAAAAACATATATGTATACCTATCCAAACGATTTTCTAGTTTAACAATTACTGGTAGTCGAAACGATAGTTTAGCAATCCGACGACAAAAATCAAAACCGGTTACAACTCGTGTTTGAAAAAATATAAAACCGAAAATAATAATTGCTTACTTATTTTGTTTTTGCTTTTATTTTTACGAACAAAAAACTTCTTGGCAACTACTAKCTGCGTTTCTGACACACAAACACGCAGAACGCGAGAAATCACAAAATTAATGTATTATTACTATTATTATAACATCAAACGGTTTATTATGTACACTTATATGACTTATACCTATACCTACAATAAGTACGTCCTATTTTACTGACTTATCGCAACTGCAACAACTGCAGGATAAAAAAATAGTAGAAAAAGTGCATCAATATACATTTAGCATTTTAATGTTGAATAGACTGATTGAAGTAAAAATAATTTTATTTCTTAGTATTCAAATTAGGTTCAGCCCAAGATTAATGTACATACAAACTAAACGTTAACGATATAATATATAATATACTTTATTAAAGTATGTAACTWAATTAATAGACTCAATTAAAAAAAAAAAACATATGAGTGCATATTTGAAACATGCTTTACCAGTTTTTAATCGAATATTCAAAAAATATTTTGAGATTTTTGCAGTGCATGTTATTAACTTTTTTTAGYTCATATTTTAAACTTTTAATAACTTGAAAATCCACCCTTGGTTTATAAAATAATATGATACTACATTACATGGTTCGAAACGAATCACTGGAAGTTATTCCCGCGGGACGGTGTCGAAATGCTGTAGATATTATAATAATAAATAATAATACACTCTATATGCACGATATAATCATCTCATTGAGGGTATGACGATGTGTTATGCGATAGAAAATTCGTTTATCGATTTCGACGATACAAACACCACAGCAGATGATCGACTATCGCAAACACCATTAATTTAGTATGTAAATATTATCATAAGGCATTACTGAGACCAACATTTTGCTATACGTAGGTATTATGGCAATCTCGCAGTATGAAAATTATACGCATCGGTGCCATGTTATTATATTATACTTATCAATAATTCACAACATTTCCGTGCACCAAATATATTTAATATGCGTATGTTTTGTARTTAACAGTGGTTGGAAGGCACTAATTACAAATATTATTATACCACCACCATTTCAGTGATGATTTTCAAATATATACATATTATTGTAAAAATATACCAAATATATTATGGGTACAAAATATGTATACAAATCTAGTATTTCTACTTTCTAGATATTTRGWTTTGCCTAACGGATGTCCTTTCGAACATAAAAAATATAATACCGTTTACGATTACGATATCGAATTTTTAAAATCGATCGAGGTTCTTACGTCACTGTATACGGAGCTGAGTCGAACTCAAAATAAGTAGACAATATACATCCGCCCCGGAAATAGCTAATATAATGAAACACATATTAATCGGATCGTTTTTGGTGCGTAAAAAATAAGAAATAAGAATAATACGATAATACACCAACGATTTGAACAAGTATATCTATAATACATCAGTGATGTTATAAAAAATAAATCGTGTCAATATTATATAGAKTAGTTACGATGAAAAGTTGCACCGCATACGAATAGATCATTATCAATGTGATTACCAGTTGGTTCGGTATACATTTTTAGAAATAATTCATCGCGATTAATCGTATATTTAATTATTTATTTATTATATTATGTTAATAAATTGGAAAGTAGGTAATCCTATAGTTCACGACGAAGTGCGAATTTAAAATGTGCGGGGTTTTTTTTTTTTTTTAACATAATATATAATGGTGAAAAGGACATTATTATTCATAATAATTAATAATATATATAGGTAATAATATATTACAATAAAAAAAAAAAAATGCGACGAAATATTCGTACTGCGTCTCGAGAACTAGGGCGACTAAATATTATGACTTTCCAATTAATTAACACTGCAATGTTCACTAGTGTAGAACAAACCGACTTCAGAAGTGTGCACTGTGCTGTAGAATATGTTATAATGTAGCTTGTACTTGCACTATACACTCTGAAGCAGTATACATATATAGCGCTGTATASGTAGTAGTCCGAYTTGGGTAGTTACATGGCTTTATCCGCATGAAAACGGAGAGATTAATTTAAAACAGATTTTATGTCAAACACGCGTGATGGATGACGCGGTTTTTATTTATCAATTGTACACTCGAGAATCGACTTTAGAGGGCAAAGACAACCTCCCCTCCCCCCGAAAAAATAAAAATAAAATGAAATCATAACATTTTACATGCGCGTTATATAATATAATATGTATATATTAATATAATAATAATAATGTGATATGTTTACGTTTGCGTTATAATTAAGTATAATATGTGTACCTATACCGCGCGCTTTTGCCGATAAACAGTAGACGCGCTTATGTGCAATGTTAAAAAAAAAAAAAAAAAACAGCAAACAGCGTTGTTTACCGTCGTTCGACGGGGTTGCGGGTTGAGGGGTGGTCGTGTTGTGCGGGTGGCGGTGGGTGGAACCATTGGCGGCTGACAACAAAGCCATTGCCGACTCTACTTCCCGTACAATGTAGATAGGTACCTGTGTTTATTTTGAGTTAGGCGCCCCATACAAACCGTATATATAAACAAACGTCGTAACGGTGTAATCCAAATTTAATAGGGTGTTTTTTTTTTCTTTTACCAAACCCATAAACACTGCAATATTATATTATTAAATATATATGGTACGTCATGTTTAAGCACGCAAACTTTCAATAATGTCCATGTACGAGACGACGACCGAAGGCGGAAAAATATAGTAATAACAATAACAACCTAGGACWTTCGCGTTATTGGGACTCGGGTTTGTATGTTTTCCATTTCTTCATAAATTTATCTACGTCATTATCATACCAGGACATTTAAGTGTAACGATATTATATCATCGTGTCGCAATCGGGAATCGGCCCCCAAATAAATGTACCTACGTAGGTATGTTGGTAGTCGATGTTTATAGCTATATTTTCTTTTCGACGCCATTCTTTCGCCCATAGAGACGTCACGTTTATAGACGTGTGGCCCCATATTGTGGACGCTATTACATGATTTATAATAACCGCATCATATTATCATTATTATTATTATTATTATAGATTCATCTCGTAAGTTTATACCGAGTCCGATCGACTCGGCGAGATAATAATAATAATGATAATAATAATATAAATCGTTTACGTATTGGATGGAACGAAAAATCAATTGGATAGATCGTCATCGTCACTCGGCCTGCACGATATTATCAGTAATAAATTGGCAGCGCGAAAAGCGTAAGATGTGTCACTGTGTATGGCGATCGGAAGAAGGTAYAGGCATACATTTTGCTATACAAATCGCGAATTATCGTTCAGTTGCAGCGGACAAGCGTAAATGCATATTGTAATATACACCTAAACGATAAAATGACCGATTTATGTCGGGAAAACGAAGATAGGTAACAATATCACGACCTACGAGATATGTATGTTAAATGTCATTACAATGCCAATATTATTACTTTACTTTTCTTTTGATTTTTATTCATTTAATTATTATCATTGTTTAATTTACAGTAAATGATACACTTTTGTATTTATATCGTATTATTATACATTCTAAAATACACGATAGTATAATATAATAATTTGTGTGCGTACAGTGCTATATATTTTATTTATACATATTTTATTATATAATACGGTCGTATTATTATTAATTTTTTCGTTTCACTAAACCTTGTACGAACACAGTCTAAACGTCAAAAAAAAAATAATACATATTCAATAATGTACCTACACAATATTATATGATATTATTATATACCTAAACGTTTACAGCAGTACAGCACTAATCCTATAGCGAACCATCATTCGCTTAATCAAATAATAATAATAATAATAATAATACCTAAACAAACACGAGAAAAAATAATGATTCCGATATAATTCGTCGATGGTATTTTATAATACAATTTGTTCACAGTCGCGTCAGAAAACGACAAAATAATAAATAAATATAAAACACGAAACCTACAGAACTTACAATCATATAATCGAAACGATTTCTACTGTTATAAATGTTATAATGTATCGTTATATAATAACATAAATTATTCTTATTGCACTTTACAGTCGTTGGCTACGAGGGGCGTCGTAATGATATCGTAATGATATCGTTATTAATTATTATTATCGTTCATTCTCGTCCACATCGTTCGTAATACTGTCGTCGTCGTTGCCGTCGTCACTCTGTCCTGTCATCGTTCCTCTGTCCGGCCTTCATCGTCGTCATCCTCTTCCTCTTCCGCCGACGTATAGTTCGGACGACAGAGACGACGTCGGAGCCCGTTCAGGCGCTCCGCTGCAGCTTATGTCAGTTGCTGTTGTTGTTGTTGTTGTTGTTGTTGTTTATGTTGTTGTTGTACCACATGGTCAGCGGCGGTAAGTTTTTCACGGACGAGGCGGCGGCATCGGCGGCGGCGGTGTTGGCGCATCCGGATACGCCGCCGTTACCGTCCGGCGACGCGGACGACGACGTGACCGCCGCCGCGGAAGTAGTAGTCGTCGTCGGGGCGGTCGTGGCCGCGGTCAAAGCCGCTACCGCCGCCGCCGCCACCGCCACCGCCCCCGCACCTACGTTACCGCCCCCGCCCGCCGACTTGTATGCTTTGGGTTTCCGGTGGTAAATGCTCTTGTGGTTGTTGAGACTGTTGAGCGTGCGGAACACTTTGTTGCACACGTTGCAGACGGCCGAGTGCAGAGGCTGGTTGTGCTGCTGTTCGATGTGCCGCTTCAACGTCAACCTGGTGCTCAGGCGCTTGCCGCATACGAAACAGGACAGCGTCTCCGCGCCCCCGCCGCCAACTCCTCCGCCACCAGCCTCTGACCAGTCTGCAGCACAATAATAACAGCCGGTCACTCCTTTTGTTTTCTCCATTTATATATTATATTATATTATGTATTACTATTTATAGGTACTAAGTATATCATAATATATAGATAGGTAGGTACTGCATACCGGGCGATTCTTTAATCGAACAACGCTCATTATTTCAAAAAACAATTGACGTTTTCGAAAGTTTTTTTTTTTTTACATAATTTCAGGTCGTTCACAAAACATTTTTGGAAAATTTTTAGATTTTGCCCTTTTTAAAAACGACATACATTTTTAATTTCGTATTCCTACGAACAATTTTCGGGTTACTTCAATACATATATATATATATATATATACAGTATACACGTCATATATTATATGTATATGTATAATATTATAATTTTTATATAAAAATCAAATTTTGTGCGAGTAAATTTAATAGGTATTCTTTAAATGTATTTAATGTTTAGATAAGTGCAGAGTTGGACTGACATGCTGCGGAGAATCACCATGTCACTCCGCCACGCTCATCTAAACTTTAATACTGACAATTAAATCACAAATTATTCATCCAAAATTTGATTTTATACTTATACCTACTTCAAAAAATATTTCACATTGAAAAAAAAAATTAAAAAATGTATGTTGTCGTGAAAAAGAAATTAAAAACAAGGCGGAACCCATCGTTTTACTTTCGAAAACCATTTTTTGTAACTACCTACAATTATGTAAAATATGATATTCAAAAATGTTGATAGCTTTTGAAACAATAAATGTTCTTCGCTAAAAGAACCCATTTATATTTATTATGTATCGCGTGTATTTATAAGTATGTGTATTATATTATATATGTATATGTGTTACATAAATACATGCATTGTATCATGATTATTATACAAGAGATAAATAATGATTTTTATAAAATGATTGGTATTATAATATTTTGGTTTATATATATATTATTTAATATTTAGATCTATATATAGATAAACGTGAAAAAATTTTTTTTTAAAAACTAAGAGTTTCGTCATTGTCGTATGGAGTGTACATAAAATTTTCTTTCGTTATTCGCTTCGTTTTATCGTTCCAAGAGGGACAAACTGATAGATAGARTGTTATAGATGGAGTGAAGGGTGAGACAGAGGGTAGTTTTCTTTTTAACGCATACATAAATATAGTTTGGATAAAAAAAAACAACAACAAATATAGGTATACGTTTTTTTTAACAGATCACAGTAGTAAACATAGTATTATAATAATAATTATTATTACATCAACTGCTGGTATAAATAAATAAATATATATTATAAATATATACGACGACGGATCAGTGGCGATCTACGCGTATGAATRTATTTTGGACACACTATACACAAGATTAAATTAAGACACTCGCCCGATTATTATTGCCGTTTTATATATGTCGATCCATAAGTATAACTGCATACAGGTAACAATGTCGTACAAAAAAAAAAAAAAAATATGTAGGCTCGGCAATAATAATATAATATATTATGCACAAAAGTACACGACCATCAGCAGAAATCGTCATCATCATAATATTATTATACACATCGGGCACGTACGTATTTTTCTTAAACAAAACAATTAAAATTTATACGACAAAACGCATTTGATTGCACGCGAGAATCTGACGAATGCGCACAGTGTATTATAGGTACATAAAATAATAATATTGTCGTCGCTGTCGACACTTTATCTAAAATATCATCGCAGCAGCAGCATTATAATATGATGCGRGAAATTAACCGAGCGCACTAAATGTGAATAATTTACTGTTTGCGAGAAGATTCGCCGAACGTTAGTTAATCACACGACGCGCGACGGTAAGTTGTGTAGACGCGTGGCGGGATTTAGGTAGTATATATTTTTTGTTTTCGTAAATTTCCGTCGATTTTTTTAGAGTCGCGCCGTATAGGTCAACGATCTTTTTCTAATACGCGCGTGTGCGCCGCCAACAGCAGTTCGAAATAAACAAAAATATAATACCGGAATTGCCACTATATAGTTTGSCCAACAAGTCTACCGTATATCATATACATATGTATATAATGGTCGTATAAAATATATAAGTACGTCGAGCCGGGTTCACCTTTCCACTTTTTTTATTTTTTTTTATTTTGGCTAAAGTGTAAAAACTAATATTATACTTAGACTCGCGCAAACAGGTTTCCAATTTTCATATGACAAAACAGACGAAGACGTTTTAAAAATTAAATTTTATTTCACCGCTCGAGTACTATTTTGAATACAACAACGACTATACACTTGAGTAATGTCCTCGCCGCCATCGTCAACAGTTATACTACATATAAAAAGAAATTTTAGAAACTATAATTAAAATATTTTAACGAGCAAAACGCACCTTTATATCACCACACGTATGTTTGTTGCGAGTTTCAAAAGAAGAACTACAACTGTTCGATAATTAAAAACAAATTCACCTCACAATTTTATTATATCATTTAAAAGTGATGTATACAATGAATAATGATCGATGCTTATGTTTGTATATGAAACTATAGACGCATTAAAATATGATTGTCAAACTTATCCGATGTAATAATTATTGTCACAACGATATTCGCATGCACGGGAAAATTTTGCTCAAAGTTTAAAGTTTTTCTCGAGTTGACTATGTAAAACATGGACATCAATTCGTCATAAAACTATACTGTGGAACTGAATTCGGGATTTGAGAGATATTTATGCGGTGAACGAATTCATGTATTAAGTCGAAATAATTCTCATTTATTTTAAAACATACATCGAAAATCTTAATGCGTTTGTTCCCTTAAGTCTGACGTGTTTCGAAGTATAAATGTTTCAGGCCATACATTATAGTATTATACGTAGGTATTATAGCCTATAGGTAGACAATGCAGTAGTCGCGTGACATTTAGAATTGATAAATGTCTATTGGCGTCTCAATGTCCAAATCRTTATGGAAATATTGTAAATCTAATTGATATTTCTTGGACGATTTGTTTTTAGATGTCCGCAAGAAATGCATTCCGTCTTGGCATAATGAATATACATAAACATAAATTATTTTCAAAATACATTTAAGATACCCACGCGTATCACGCATCTAACATAATATTGTTGACTGTGAGTTTTCACGAGAGGATTGTATGATATAAATCCGACGATAAAAAACGATACTACCCGCTAAGTTTGTCGCAAAAGTTATAAAATCCGACGGGATCTAAACGGCTTTAACTTATTTAATAATATATATTTAAGCGATTTTATATGTAAGTAAATAATATTACAAACAATATTACATTGTAAAACATCTTCGCCGTATATTATTCTGATGTGCGCGCTTAAAATAATAATAATAATTGAAGGTAGTAGAATTGGTGCATCGATCTATAATATCGTTTCGTTCTTATTAATATTTTTTRTTAGAAAAACAATAAATTCGACRACACTTTGCAGCCGTATCACTCGCAAACATGCCGCTGTTTTATCAGCAGCAATTATATTATATCGTGTTATTTTTCTTTTCGCACACTTGATGTAATTAACGCGAATCAGACGGACTATTTTAAAATAATATATATTATATTATTGCAGAATAGTGTGTCTCTTTTTCTAAATTTTTAGTTATACGTATAATTGATCATACACAATTTCACGAGGGTGAGGGGTTGATGAGAAGCAGACAAGCGTTATACTGAAAATAAAAATATGCACTCGACACAAACTTATAATAACTCGATTGCTATAGCCTACCTATATATATTAGTAAAGTAAATATTCGTAAATACAATACTCAGTCTATCGCGAAACGTCCGACGGACGTGTATATAATATTATTATTATTAAAACGAATCATTACAGTAAGTATATTTGTAACTAATCGAAAATAAATTTATTTATTTAGGTATATATTATATATATGTATATAAATATTATTATTCTTACCTTGAGAACTGGAGCCTCCTAGAGCCTCCATCACGTTAGTATGGTTGTGATTGTTGAGACCTGTGAYAGACAGAAACAAAACAGGTACATTAATATCAAGCCTAACAAATTAAAATMAAAAATACTAAGGACAACAAGTGATTAATTTAAGCATTTGTCTTTTCTTAATTTATTTATTAATTCTAATTTAACTACCTATACCTACCATACAACAATCTATATATAGTCTATACTTCTAAAGTGTATGAAAATCATCATCTCGTCACATGTTCCTCTCAGGRCCAAAGAGAAGTGACTTTGATTTCGTATCCGGTGAATACGTATCTGTGTTTAATATATTTAACAAGAAGATCGAATGTACGCAAAACATCGGTGATCGGGGGCGGATACCATCGATGTTTATAGTGATCATTTTATAGATATTTAGTGTCTGACGTTGTCACGGACCATACTAATTATTGCTCAACTACTGTGGCCGACCAATCGAATGTGTCGTAATTTAGYGAAGTATTCAAGATTTTGAGAATAAAAATTCGATGCGTATATCGATTGGTACTTATAACTACTACGAGTCCAATACTGGTCGGTACTTTTTGATCGAACGTCATGCGACTTCTTGAACACTCGGGGATATTTAAGTAATACACTCGAATTTCTTTCTCGGAGATTTGTTATATACCTACATGCATGTTGCATGTGCCATGTAAAAAAAAAAACGCATCATCGACCGATTGTGATAAATCAAACGACAGCGTGTTTGGCGATAGTCGGCCATACCGCGTRATGTATGTATACAAATAATGATCATTGAAATTATTTACGATGATTATTATTATATATACCAATATTGTACTATATCGATATTCGCGTTTCAGTGATATATATTCTAGTATAATCGTAGTGTGTACCCATATTATAAACAYCATCCTACGATACAATAGGAGATACCTATTATGCGTTTATTAGCATAATACACGAGAGAGTCAGTCACAGCAGCGACATATATTATATTATTAAAATATGATATTATTCGCAAGTGACGTATGAACATAATATATTCGTTACAAATAGGTGCGCTCGCGGGTATAGGTATATATTATATCTATATAATAGTAAGTATAATATAGTCTTACCCACAACCCGCGTATACGCTTATGAACCGATGGAGAAAAATACTAATCCGGTTTTTAAAAAATAAAAAATAAAAAATAAAAACGTATTTATGGCCCAATCGTAGGTTATAGACACTTAACCTACCTATGAAATATTATAAATATAATAATATGTATACGTATATATGACTGCAGACGTATGCTTAGTATACATAAGGTTGACCACGTCGTGGCCCACACGAATGTACATGGAAATATAGGTGTAACTCGTCTAATACGTAGACGTACACGCGCGCCGCTAGAAGAGTTTAGTAGGATAAATTTTATATTCGGCGGCGGCGGAGATTACCACCTCCTACCAGTGCACATATATATATATATATTAATATATTATATGTATTAAACACACTGCCGTAAGTACACGTCGTCTCATTGTACACTGGCAAATTTTCACCTACGGAATTTCTGGAAACCGGTCTCGGCGGCGGTTCGTGTGCTCCACGAGRTATAAAAATAGTACACAGGCGTCTGACGTCCCGAAATTTTGTGCAAAAATTGGCAACGATCTAWTAATAGATATATCTATATATAGAGATACGAATGGAGACAAAGCRATAGAGAGACRAAAATTGAAATTACTAATGCGCACAATAATTATAACAATAAAAAYAAATACCTAGTAGGTATTAGGGAGAAGAAGAGTGAGCTTTTTTACTTTACAAATACATTTTCACCTTGGTCCAACTACCATTAATATTAAACTTTATATAAGTATAATATGGTTGGTATTAATAACCGGTTAAGTGAAAATCGAAAACTGTATTATATTGTATATAGAACAAATTATCATTRAACAGATTTTTTTGCATGACACAATGTTGTCGTTTGAACTGATTACGGGACATATTATTATGTATCAATAACTATTAATTTCATCCTAATCGATAAAATTATGTCAGTAAGAAATCGCAGAAATCGATATTCAAATTAGTACCAAATGATTGTGAAAAATCAAAAGAGTCTGACGAATTGCATTTATATATATATAGTCGTTTAAATGTTATCATCGGATAATTATTTAAAAACGATGAGCCAACATTTTGTGAACCCATTACAGATAAACCCATAACGGCGCGTCCGAGTCGGTTCAATATAATAATATAGTTCTATAAACAATCGTGTGTTGTACTTGCCCGCTAACGAATCTGCGGCCATGGCGGCAGCCATACTGAAGTTGAACGAGGCGCCAGCGGCCGCAAAGAACTTGCTGTCCAGATACGAGTGGTGGCTTTGGTAGGACGTGTCGTCCGGTTCGGACATGCCGATGGCCGGGTGGACACCCGTAAAGTCAGCCGCCGAGTCGTTACTATCGTCCGCGTACGCGCTGCCGCTATTGTTGACGGCAGCCGCGGACGCGGTGTCCATCGGCTCGGTCTTGACTTCGGTGGGCGACCGACGGGACATCATCAGGTTCTGCGCCGTGTCCTGCAGCTGTTGCAGGGCGTTGGGTGGCAGCTGTTGCTGTTGCTGCTGTTGGTGGTGTTGGTGCGTCCGCGAATAGTCCATCGGAGGTTCGTCGTGGAGCTGTTGCTGCTGTTGGTGGTGGAGGTGGTGGTTGTGCGGTTGATGTCCGTTGCTGTGGCCGTTGCTGCCGACGACACCGCTGAGGCCACCGTCCGAACGTTCACCCGCGTCGTCGTCGTCGATGCAGTTGGGCCGGCTGCCCGCGGAGCTGGGACTGTGTTGAGACGTCCTCTCGGACAGGTCCATGCCTCCGCCGCCAGTGGGCATGGCGCCACCGCCACCCCCGCCCGAGGCCGGATTCGACGAAGTCTTGTTGTTGCGTTTTAACGGTATCGGAGAGTTTTCCTGCGACAAACCAAACACAATATTTTGTTACCTAATTGTATTTTATTATTATTATTTATTACTACAAACCAGCACAAAGCTCAATAATTATAGGAATAAGTTTAATGAGAAGAGCAAAAGTATTTCCACAAAGCGCTATAGAGAGTTGTTATATTTATTAGAAAGACGAGCATCATACCATGAACTACTGATACGTASTWGGTATTGCAGGATGGAACTGCAGAGGGAACGTGATATCGTAACTCRTCGTATAGGATGGTGAAGGGACCTTGAAGTTCAATATTTCAAGTAGGAGAGGTTAGGTTAGGTAAGTTCAAAATTTTAAGTCTGTGATGGGCACTATTCCATGATAATTTGCTAACGTATACTTTGCCTAAAGTCATATTATATTGAACATTGCAATAGTCCTGATGACAGAGGTCGATATATTTTATAGGATATGTGTGTGATGCACACCAAAGAGAAAAAAACGCCACCGTACTCTCTTTAACTCTGCAGCATGGAGCGATGTAATAATATGTCATATTATAAATAATAYATCAAACAAATTTCGTACACGAAAAATACAATTATTCATGAATAATGATATGATAAAATATCTGCACCGCTTTACCTCCCATCGCCTATTGGCTATTTATACAATATACATGCATGTGGTTGAGGGTATAAGTTTCTTTCGTATAATAATACTATCATAGTATTATCCACACAACGTTTTGAACGTTTTATTATTTTATAAATTATTTTATAAATCATCACTCCAAATTGGTCTGTTAACTATACTTTACTTATACTTAATGCGCGTTCTAAACGGCTGAAAACGTAGTGATAAACACGTAGCTGCAAGGGCTCTAAAATTTTGATTGTTAATAATATATTTTTCGATAATAATATATAACGGATTTTCAGCATCGCTAATTACCTACTACTTAATAGTTTATTAATATTATACTTATATAGAGTGAACCTATCCTATCTATTAAATAGTAACTGTATATGATAGGAGAGGGGTGCTGGTCCCCTCTGAGTGCGGATGTCGATGTAGCCATTGTAATTTAATGTTCTTGACTTTCGCCATCGAAAGCGTGCCCGCAGAGGTTAGGTTAGGTAAGTCATGATTCATGCGGCTTCGCCGTTGCCAATTTTATGTCATACTTGAATGTTTTAATGGTAGATAATTCATTATGCAGGTGCCAGGTATATACTCTTGTGATCTTTAAAATAATCGTTGCCAATACAGGTTTTTACTGGAATCGATAATTCACATACGTACGACCAATGCAGGAGGGTTGTGGATTCAAGGGTTGTTCAATAGGGAGGAGGGATGATTTTCAAAAAAAAATGTTTGTATGTTGAACCCAATATCAGTAATAATAATATATATTATAATAAATGTATGAGAGGTTTATATATTATATCGTGCGTGRCGTTCTATTGCCGGATAACATGAATAACAAGCTTATAGGTTATGTTATAATGTTGTAAGCGCAATAAAATGTATTATAATAATATAATATATACATTATATAGAATATTAGAATTATTACGTAAAAAATAAAAAAACACGGCCTCATCGCTTTATCACCTCCACACCCCCTCATCATCGTATCCGTTACCGGCGTTTTTTGTTTTGTACCTATAATACGCGCGTGTTTATGTACGGATTATGATTATAAACTATAATTTGTGTTAAACTTTTGTGAACGGATAATGGCGCACAGCTAATGCGCAGTAAATCCTWAAAGATATTTAGACATTATATAATACGCGTTTGTTTTTATTTATTCTGGCGCCATTTCCGCGTCCGAGAAAATCCGGTGATTTACTTTGCTTGCAATGCCGGAACAACACTTCACGCGCTACGTTCGCTAAAACTTTGCATAGTCCGTCAATATTGAAATACGAAATGAAACAGGCCACGACGTATATATACGTAYATTTTATAAACGGTAATAATATTATACATATATATTAAAATGACGAATTTAAGTTCGGTCGTAAATGAAAATCGAAAGTCGACCAGTTTCGCACATCAACCGGGACAATGGAAATAATGATTGTATGTACAGCGAACTTTGGGACATTGTCTAACAAATATTTTATTACCGTCTGCCGAATCTGATCATTCACAGTTTAGAGGGCGCAAAATAAATTAAATAAATAAACACGACGACTACGGCGTAATAAACGAGAAATTCCGTAACATCATCTTATGTCTTGTTTCACTCATTTTATCCGGTCATTGGTATAGGTACCTATAATACAAATAACGATGGAGGAAAATAATAATTATTATGAGAAGTTTGTTTTTGTTTACTGAGATTCCACTAAAGAGTCGTAAAATAACAAAAGAAAACGGCAGGCACTGTTAACTGTTTACACGAACKCTACAGACTTTTGAACGTTTCGTCGGCCAGAAAATATTCTCTCGGATTTTTTTTCTTCTTTTCACACATTAGTTTTTTTTTCCATAATATTCTCCTCCGACGCGCACCACCGCTTTTGTTAACCGTTTCGTTCGCTTTACGCGAATATCGTCTCTTTTCATACATCAACACGTGTGTGTGTGTGTGTGTATACATATAATGTAGTATATATTTTCGTTTTTTTGCGGAACGCCATCCCACCGCTACAGCAAGCAACCCGCAACGAGTTTTACTCGCAATGTTTATTTTTATTGCTCGAGTTTTTTTCTCGCGATTTAATATTTGTCTTTCAACGGTTAAACCGTTGTTTCCGTCGTCGTACAAAAATGGGCAAACGCTTACAAATACAATCACGTCGCCGCGCATTTTCGCTTTTGCTGGTCGAAAGTCAACTAAAAGCATTATGGAGATCATATGACATGAATATTATTTTATTGTAATAATATCCCCCCTAGGGTATTATTTACGCGCATTTAGAACGCCYATTCGCTCCAGCAGATCGCGTGGGGTTGACTTTAACACGTCGTAGTAAACGCGATATTCAAGTGACATTTAAATCCTAGTACAAATATCGCCAACGCTTCCGGTAGTGGGCATTTGATAATGCACCATTTAAAGACTCCTCAAACTCTTTCCCCACCGCAGACCTCTTGTTATACACGCAGGCCTTGTCGTGACATATCGAAACAGTAGTTTTGTTCCGACGACGACGACCCTTTGAAATCGTAAACTGCAGACTGCTACGAAATCACTCTTTCTTATACGCTTTAATACAACTGTATAGCATAAAATTATATGTATATCTAAATATCATTTAAAGTCGTAAATAACAAAAGGTCACCTTATTCACCACTGGATTTGAACGTAGTATTTTATGGGCAAACGTAAATTTCSCCCCACGAAGGGAACAAATTGTAAATTGCGCCCAATACATTTTAAGTATCAATTTTTTTGTAGTTAATTAAGCCCAGTAGATTTATTATTGTTATGCTTATGATAGATATTTAGCATTATACCCAAAGGGCCATCACAAGGAGGCGACWATCACCGTACTCCAAAAATGATAGTTTTCAATTGAATGAATAATATGGGTGGGTATATTATAATTAAGTGCATTAAGTTGTTAAAAATATTTTTCGTTAGGTTAATTTATAAAGAATAATGAAAAATATTTTATTTTTTTAACTATAAATAGAGTAAATAATAATAATAATAATAATAATATTAAATGTTATTTTATCATATATATATTAATCCAGTTTGTATAAACATGTAGCACGCAAACGAATTACTAAAATATTACGCATGAAAGTCGTAATATACGCGTATAGTCATCGATATCCCATCAATATCATAAAGATTATAGCGATAAACTTTCGGCTTTTCCACCAATAAATATGAATAACATTATTTAAATATAAAATAGATATCGATAAATATAAGGTCACTAAGATATTATGGAAGCAATTTACTATATAATATCTTCACTCAATTCGGTCGCTATTTATAAGTAGTYTATTTTATATTATATTTTACCTATTCGTACCTATAAATAAAAACAATTTTCAGTGTAACTTTGGCACTATACGAATTTTAACGAAATATTATGGAAATCCATAACCGAATTTATGTAATTCTATTTAACGATTTTTGTTTTTGTTACTTACTCTACTTATTAGCCTCTGTAAGATGGAACTTAGGCTGTAATTACAACGAGCTATCATGTGCCTAAATTATATTTATGATGTTGCTGGAATATTCGGGATGGTWGGGGTAATTCATTAACCTATAAAGAAATGGACTAAAAGCAGATAGAGAAGGATCCCGAGGCCACATTGGAAGATAAAAATATCGAAATAGCATACAAGTTAATCCATTTATACACATTAAAATAGCAAGAGAAAGAAAACGATAAGTTAAAAAGTTCTAAACCTATTTAAAAAACAAATAGCATATACATTATGTTTTTTGTCCTATCATATTATGGACAAGTATTAGCCATCTCTTTCTATAGTAAGATTGATACTTGGCAAMATAAATGAAGGTAGAGTACCTATATTAGTATATAGGTGACGCACAGACCATATAWATAGGTATATGTATCAATATGGGCTAAGAGCGTTCGACATATATAGTTTGTCATCCGGTATAGTAATTTGTGTGTTATTATTATAAATAATTATTAATAGCTGACGTATACTCTATATATCATTTATTATATATCATATCATATTGTATTAAATCGCATCGGAAACTTATCCGAAGGGATGTAAGGGGTAAATCCCTTTACCATTAGTTTTTTTTATATAAATCATAGTAGTTCGATATGAATGGGGGGGGGGGCACTACCATGTGATTTATCATATAAATAATGAATATAATATTATATATCGTTCACCTCAAAATAATATGCAATTGTGATACTATCGGTTTGACAAAAAAAAAAATGTCATCATCAAAGGAATATAATTTTAAAACCATAGAGAAAATGTTATATTAAATAAACAACTGTTGGCTTTAGCTGCTGCAGCGTTGCGGAAGTTTCTGTCATGTCGTACATGCATGCATGTGTATGTGCATTGTGCATATTATATTATTGAGTTTAAGTTATATTGTAGATCCTACCACCTACATACTACAGGGTCACGGCCGAAGCATTATTTATTCAAAACAAACGTACGGGTAAGAAAAATCCTCAAACGAAAAGAAAAACACGTCTCATTGTTTGTTTTATAAATATATACCAAGTAGGGTACGCGGAAATGCATTTTGCCAATGGGAACATCGTATATATACAATAGTTTCTAAAGATTTAACAAATATGCAACACACGAGGTACGTCGCGTAGTATTACGATGATAATGTTTGTTTTCTGCACGTCCTATATTATAATTATCTTGGCAGCACCGACAAGGACAATAATAATATAAACGCCAACACATTCACAATAATTTATTATTGTTTATTATTATGAATGAAAAACCGCGTAGCACCGAGCAGAAAACCATATTATGAGATATTATTGAATATTGATTTTTTAATATTATAATATATCGTCATAGAAATAATGAAATATTCGTCAAGACGCACATATTATTACGTATGTGTTATCTATATGATACGGAATACGAATAATATGAATATATTATTATTTATTATGTTATATGTAATAGATATAATCATTGTGGAGTTTATACAAGGTAAACTCGAAAAGAGACGCATTTATCGTTGTAAAGTCTCATTTTGTAGATAATCGTCGCCAATAATGTGTGAGTATGACGTGATATTTGATGCGAATTTAATACCTTATCAAAATTGACACTGAGAATATCGCTGTCTTATACATAGAATTCTCTAATAATAATTAAATACATAATACCTGAATTTATAGTGATTTTTGGTCCTCGACATAAAAAACATTTAATCTCTTGTTTTCGAGTTACTTAAAAATCCGAGACGATGGCCAATAATTATTATAATATTTTATTGCAGTACTGCAGTATTCAAATTAAATAGACTCGCATATTAATTGAATATAACTTCGAAAAATATAGTTAAGTGAATTTAGACGATAGGTGGATATAGCGTAGGTATATAGACAACGATCACCATGACGTAATAGAGTTAATAGACATCTCTTAGCTGTATATAATATAACGTGTTGTTACCTATTATGCGTTCATCTATATCTATCTTATATAATATATTGTCCGCGGACAATTTATATAATCGGAAACACTACTCTCTATCCTTTTAAAGTATTAAAAAATAAACGTGAAAACGGAAATGGACTTACCTTTGACCGCGGTGAAGGTATGGACGACGGCGATTGTTGCGGAAAACCTTTCCTCTGTCTGACCTGTGGTGACACTCTGCCCTCGGACGCTTGTGTGGCGAACGACTGCAGGAACGAGTTTTCCGCGGGTGGTGTCTCGGAAGACTGCCTCGCGGAATGCTAAAAACAAGCGGACCCGTTTACATATTATTATCGTTATAATATTGGAATGATGATTAATAATGTAAACATAATATACATCATATAGATGGGCTGCTATCTTGAAAAACAGGACTTCAAACGTCGAGAAAAAAAAAAATTTCAGAAGACTACGCGGCCCTGTGATATAATATTGTTAAGATAGTTTTAAAACGTGCGTCATGGCAGACAAACAATAAATTGAATCTAGAACGGAAAATCCTAAAAACGTCTCCGAAAATTCGAGTGCATAAAATCCGTTTAAATGGGTACCTAACATCGATAAAATGCTACTCTAATTTCTAATACATATTAAGATCATACTAAGCTAAATAAATAATATATAATATTATACTGTCGTGTATTATACTCACGTCATTGGTGGTTGCGGAATCGGACGGTTGGGTGAGGCCACTGACCCTGAGAACTTCGGCGGTCTTCAGGAACGAGCTCAAGTTCCTCTGGTGGACGTTTACTTCGCCGTGGTAGATGAACTCGACGAGCGCTTGCAAGTCATCGAAAACGACGTCTTGCAACACGATCACGGGGTGTTTGCACGGCGTACTCTGAGCAACAAAAAAGRGTCAAACATAAATCATAATCTACTGCAGTCTTAACCACGTGATCACACTTTTTTTATTATTATTTATTGATTGATATTTATCAGCTATATATAGGGGGAAATGAAGGCACGCTGACGAAATTTATCTATAGCTCGAAGACGAAAAATTTACTTTTAAAATCGTTTGTTTTGAAATTGGATTAAATGAAAGTTTTAACTTTCTTYGAATTAACAATAATAATAATATGTACATTAAACCTATATCCGGTACATAAAATKTTGATGAAAACTTTTCGGTTTCGTGAATAGACCCCCCAAAAATATTAATGTTTGGAGCTTGCACATTATACTCACTTTCAACAGTTCCCGAAAATATGGGCTGCACGCGGACAGGACCACCCGGTGGGCCTTTAGGCTCTTGCCGTCGCATGCCAGCGTCACGTCGATGAAGTCYTCGTCGTCCCTCAGATTCTCGAACGCTGTGGTGATGCTGTTCTGGTAGTTGTTCCAGCGCAGACAGAAATGCTGCAGGTCGCCCATCACGCGGTGGGCTTCGGTCGACACTGTCCCGCCTGTTTTCATGTTCAAAACAAACGCAAAAAACGAGACGACGTTATAGACAGTTCAAAATACACGACCCGCGCTAAAATAATATGCCAAGCGCGCGACGTTTTCTCATCGTAACTCGGGGTCACGCGAATTCTATTAATAAAATACAAATTATTACGTATAATACATATTTATGAATGTCATATTATAGTATACGCGTTTTTCAAATACAACTCTGACCCATCATCCATTCACCGCATATTATATTATGCGCATAGGCGTGGCAATTAATAACGAACATGTCGACGACAAGAAAACTGTAAAACTAAAACCTAGCCAACGTATAATAACCGTTTTTAATAATTAAACGTCCCTGCRCATATAAATTTTTAATACTTAATAACTATTATATTAATTCTATTAAACCTATTATTACGTAATATTATAGTTGTAAACTGCTAAATTATAATTTACCGGTGACGGCGATGTAAAAATCGACATGATATCTAAGGCCAATTATTATTGGGCGTCTGATATTATTATACTTTATTGAGTAATACTTTTCGGTGTGCGCCAAGAGAACTGCGACGCCGTACTGCTATGGAGCAAATATTTTCCCGCGTGTTTTCCTACTCGCCGGTCGGGGCGCGAGGACACGCGCGATGAGAGCGAAATGCGGTGATAACAGCACCAACAGCCACAACAACGGCAACAATAACAACAACAATAACAAAAACAAGCCCGTCGACAGCGGCGTTGGGTAAAATACACGCGCGCATTTCCAAAGAAAAACGCTGAGCACGCGTGCCGTCAGAATGGCGCGTCGAGAACGGTGACGGATCGCTGAGCGTGTGGTGTGGGGAGGGGGGGGTCATCTCCGAGACGGTCGTCATCATCTCACGCGCGTGGAGGAGCGTTGGCGGTCACGAGGCCGTCCTTAGGGGGGCTGGAGGTCGGAGGGGGTTCACCCTCTTTTCGCGCGCGTTTCGTCCGTCGCCGACCGTACAATATACCGTGCCGTACCGCGAACAGGTGGGCAGGCGGCGACACCGTGTGGTCCGCGCGAGTGGACGAGCGGGCGGGCGCGCGAACGAACGAACGCGTGTGAGTGTGTACACGTTGTGCGTACGGGTGGGGTGGCGGTGGCGGCGGCACAGGACAGGGGCGCCCATTCATACAACCGGCGGCCGGTGTTCGGCCACACACACGCGGCGTGTACACGCGTGCCACCGCCGACGCCGCGCGCCGCGCTCTCGCCCGATACACACCACGTCCGACGGCCACTACACGTCCGCGACTGCGAAGACGGCGACGAAATTCGCGTCGGTAAGCGATAAGTGCGCTGATAAACACGCGGACTTTTGCCGCCATACGTTGCACATAATAGAATATCTCGTAATATCTTCGTAATAATATTGTAGCACGCCCGCGGGTGTCTACTTATGCCACGATAATGCAATTACTGCGACTACGACTACGATTGTTTGTGCTGACTTCGATCATCGTATTATTATAATAATATTATTTAATCATACGAAAAATGTCTGATATTTAATGTCGAGTAAACGGTTTTTTCAATAATATAATATAATAATTAATATTCGACGTAAATTACTGCAATACTCTGTTATCGATCTACCGAGATGACTTACCTATATTATTGTCCGGTGGTCGAATGAGATCTCGTCATCGGTGACCGGTACACGGCCGCCGCAGGCATGCGGAGAATATACGACATGTGTGCGATTTGTGTGGATAACTTATTTGATAGGTATATAATTTCGATGGTGCACTATTGACTTACGAGGAGAGAAAAAAAAATTATCCGTACGGTAAATGAGTAAATTAATTTTTTTCCATCACCGGTAATTAATTAATTAATTAATTAATTAATAGATAAATTAGTAAGTATTTTTTAATTACGCGTGTGTATAACTTCGTGATTGTCGCGTGTAATTTGTTTTTTTTTTCTTTTAAAGTGTAAAATAATAATAATAATAATAATAAAACAATAATAATAATTGTCGTCGGTGATAATAATTATGATGGTGATCGTCGATGTCGCGAGTTGTGTGTAATATATGGTAGTGCGTGCGAATCGCGTGCGTGCCCGCGGCGGTTGCGACGGAGATGATGCGGTTGACGAGAGCCCGCGCGGCGGAACTATAGACAACTCAAAAACATGACTAGCAATAAACTACTAGGGGGTAAAAACCGAGAAAGTAAAATTGCATATTCGTACAGTTTAATGAGAGAGAGTGGGTCCCCCACCCACCCGGCCTACCCGGCCCGGTC